AAACATCAATCCCTACAAGCCACTAGAGGCTCACACAGATGCTTGCCATCATCTTCTCTAAACTCCCAGTAAATTCTCTGTTACTGTCAGCTTACTATTTTCTTTTATTCTGGCAGCTGAGCATGCTTCAAAACGCTGAATTTTTAGCCATGAAACATGTTTGATTGTATTGGAATGTCTTTTGGCCTCATATAAGGTCCACAATTATTACTGAAAATAAAAATGATACTTTACTGTGTAGCATGTCATAGTTTAAAAATTATTTTAAACTTCAGGGGTAGCACTGAATCCAGGTGGTGCCAAGGGAGATGTAAATTATGTTGAGGAATCTCATTTTAAACTGTGATTTAGCATAAAACGCATAAGCTGGAAAAGACTGCAGTCAGCCTTTGTCTTATTTGCTCCTTCTGCTGTATGCTCTACCCATGCAATCAAAAGGAGGAAGAAACAGTGGTAGCCAAACAGATGTGCAGACAGTATACAATAAGGAAGAAGCTGAAATATAGAAGCAAGAAACCTGTGGAAATCTGTAGTCTTAAGATAGATCTGATTGCAACATAACACCGTGTGAAATTATTACACTCACCATGCATTTGCTAAAGTCATTTGGATCCACACCAGGCAATGCCCTCATCAACAGAGGCAACATGTGTGTTGGACCTTCAGGAAATGACTTGCCCCCAGATACCAGGCTACGAGCTACACCAATTACACAACTTAACGTAGCTGTGAGCTGATGAGGTTCTGTTAATGTCTCTAATGCAGGATATGTTCTATGAAAGAAAAAAACAAAAGACTTGTATCATTTATAGTGTCTTACTTGCAATTGCTAATAAGATAAGCCAGACATAGGCAATGCTCAGGCCACTCCAGACCTTTTTTCTAACTTTCCCAGATTTACAGGGTAAAATGGGTGCCCTAAACCCACCAGAAACACCACTCTATTTTTTTTCCTGGGAGGAAATTTAAAGAAAAAATGGATGCTTGCTTAATATTACCAGCAACATTCCTACAGCCCTCAGGCCGGACAGAAAGTATGGTTTTCAGGCCAAAAAAGATTGTCCACTTGAGGTCAGCCTTCTTATGTGGATATATAATATGTTCTTGGAAGCTCCTAAAATTGTAATTGGGTTTTCAGGCTTTGTTAAAATGATTCTATGGTTACATACTGCTTCTGTATTATGTATTACCTCCTCTTGGTCCATACCCAGAATAATCAAAATCTGTTCTTCACAGCATTATGGCAGTGTTTTCTTTAGTAGATAACACAGGGGAGGCTCTTGTACTAGAACCTACAGAATTCTGGCAGATTCAGAACAAGATATATTCATATTGCACAAAGCATGAATAGGGAGATGGACAGGTAAACAACAGAGTCTGTTTCAAGACTACGGCATCACGCACACTCTTAAATATTTTGGCACTCTGAATTAAAAAAAAGGCATTAACATTACAGCACTCTGCTTGCAGAAATTCTAACTAGATGTATGTTTTGATGACTCAACTTTAGGAAATAAAAAAAACAATAGAGAGTGGATTTCAAATACATTTTCTACTACATCTACAATGCAACATTAAATAGCAACAAAATTAAATTACACTGTAGATACCTTTAACTTCTGTTTACTCAAGGACTACAACAGGCTTTGTGGGACATGTGGAAGGCTCCATTCTAAAAAAAGGGAGCATTTGGGGAAGGAATTTCAGGAGTTTTAAGATAAAAAATGGGTGTTTAAGGATCTGCAAGGCTGAAGAAACCCATTTTTAATTTAACATGTCAACTTCAAAAAGAGTCCAAAATGTTTGACCCTATACATTCCTGAGGAACTCTAGGGCGCAGAGAAGAGATGCTGGCAAAGCCACACTTTTTGCACCTCTTAAATGATATTTGCTCTTGTTTAAGCCAGTAAAAATGGAAAGGTGGAAGTTTCAAAGTGAGGGAATTTGTAGCTAAACTTTAATCTTGTTGTTAAAGGTTTTAAATTGTGTTTTAACAGAAATGGCAGCATGAACATTTTTAAAAAATAAACTCATAAAATAAGTGATGCAGGATTGCAACGTAAACTAAAGCAAGGAAAAGGATAATATAGCATACATCTGAAAAGGTAAACATGAAAAAAAACCAGTAACTCTAGATTCTCTAGTCAACCTGAGCTTTAAATTTTCCAAAAAACCCCACAATGATTTAAAACAGTGTTTCCCAAACTGGAGAACTTTGAGGTACGGGGACTTCAACTCCCAGAATTCCCCAGCCAATATGGCCATCGCTAACAATTTTGGAAGCTAAAGTCCATACACTGGGAAAATGCTGATTTAGAATAACTTTTCTTGGTTATCTAAAAATTAGATACTAAATTTCTTTTTCGGGCTTCCAGATAGTACTCACTTTTCAAGTACTGGTGGGATTACCAACTCAGGACGCATTAGTGCAAGATTCTGCAGAGCTTGGGCTGCCTCTAGACTTCCAGTTTTGCTAAACATTGCCAGCAAGACAGGTTGTATAATGCATTCTACAAATTCTGTTATGTCCTGGTCAGTAAGCTTATGGCTATCAGGCACAGGAGTTAGCCAGCTCATCTTCTTATAGCGCTCACGATGCAGTCTTCTGACTATACTACTGGGTAGACGCTGAAGTAGCTTCATTAGCTTATTCTACCAGAGAAAGGCAACAAAATCCATTTCAGTTAATTAGAAGCAAGGAAAAGAGCCAAAGCTATTTTGACCTCTACATTCTGGGCATTAAGAAAAAGTAAATCTAGACCCTCTAATCAGCAGTCAACTATGTCTGTCTGTTTTGAAAGATACTTTATGTATTGGGCAGAATGAGAGATGGACCAGAACCTTCAGTACAGAGTTGGGATTTGATGTCAGGGAGGTTTTGAGTGCAGTACTATTCCCCTGGTATCACTGCAGAGTAACAATATTCTTCCATTCACTTCCTGGTGCTATTGTGGCAGATAGTGCTTCCTCCACCCCATCTCTTGGGAAAAGCAGCTGGCCTTCTCTTACTTCCTCAGCCCCATGATACTCATTGTCCGTCCCCCAAAACTCATTCACTAAATAAAATTCCTCTGCTGAAGCCACAGCAATTCTGAATGGATGCTAAGCGGGCATTCAGCTCCAGCTACCATGTTCCAGGATTCTAATAGTTCTAGTCTAAGTACAACTGAAGGATACCAGGATACAGAAGTCTAATCCAATCTAACACAACAGATGGGAGATGCATAGTGTTGAACTGTTTTCCACTGAAAAACAATGGGATTTAGTGGAAAAGCTCATTAGGATGAATAAGAGATGGGCAAACTGCAGCTGGCAGGCAGTGGTGCTTCTCAATAGGAGCAAAGGCAGAGCTGATGCTTTGTTGCATCTTGAAGTAGCTTTTATCTTACATAATCCCTACTTCAATTCAATACTTCAATATCTTGGCATTATGGCAAGCAGTTAGATTGGTATCAAGCACCAAGGCAGTTCTACTTCCTATTTAGAAGCAGAGCAACACATGCACTTCGTCCACAGATAATCTCTCTGAGCCTACATGACGTCAGCAGCTGAAACAGCATGACAACTTCTAACGTAGGGACTACTCTTGTGTCTTGAACTTTAATGAATGATGCATCTCATGAAAATACTAGCCTTATTTGTTTGGTTCCTTGTACCTTACTACTATTTATAAATATAAATTCCAAGGTGATTTCTGTAGAAAGAAAATAGATTTAACTCATCTAATTTTTATTCGTTTAACAACTTCATTGATTAGTTTATCACCAACTGCAAAATTCACTTAATTGGACATTGTACTGGTTTTGAAATTAAATAACTTTGGATCAGGCATAATGTTATTCAGCTCTTAATGCAGTCACTACCACCAGAAAGAAGCCATAAGGTAATTCCCTTCAATCTCCCATTACCTATGGAACTTTACTATGTTTGGTTCATACATAGTTTCGAGCTATATTGAAAGGAAATCCTCATTAGTACTGTTCAGTACTGCTAATACTGATGCTTCAGGCTCAGTAAAGAACTGTATTTTGTCATCACTAACCTTTCACATAATACGTCTTATATATTCTCATCCAGCCATTATTATTAGCTTGCATTGCTGGAACTGGCTGGTGGGATGATTGATACTGCTTCCCCCATCTTCTTGAATTGTATACTGGCTTTTATAGAGTTGTTATTTGTGATTTTATTTGGGGGGTATTTATAT